ATTCTCTGCAGAAGACCTATGACTATGGCTCTGAGGCCTGATTTGTCCCTGAGGCTTTCAAGTACCTTCTGCCCTAACTCACATCAGCTGGGCCTCTCCCCAGGGAGGCAGTACAGGCTTTAATCTAAATGGAATCTAGTTTGTGCCAGCTGAATGCTGCTACTGACCTGTCCTGGCTTTGGCCAGAGCACCACCTGCAGAATACAACCTTTGAAACTGCTGGCAGCCATGCCCTGGAATCTGCACATCTGGACACAGAGGTTAGGGCCAGAGGCTACAGACATTCCTACCTCACTCGCCTCAGCCTGCCCAGTGTCACTCTTCCTGCTGGCCACATAAGGCAATTCTCAGTCTGGGCTTCCCTGGTTCCAGCCTCAAGTGAGTTGATATTACTATAGGTGGGGTGGGGGTCACTGCTACCCTAGCCTGACAGACTGGGATGGGCTGGAGGGATGAGGCAAAGTACTTTAGTTCGCCCCTTAATCACCAAGACATATGTCCCTGACTGCTCCATCTGAGACAGAGCCCCAGAGCCTCCAGGCCTTCCTGAGATGGTGTATTGTCAGAATCCAGTGTCCCTGACATCCTGCTGGGTAATAGCCCATTACATTCTCTGGATTCCTGCTGCCAAGGCCTGCTGGGAAATTCAGTCCTGAGATCTACCCCAAACGTCTTTGCTCCTTTCCTTTGTCTTGGAGCGTCTGCAGCCCCTTTGAAATCTCTGCTTCCTAACCTTACTTCCATCAGCCATTTGGCTCCAATTCTGAGATTGATGGCTGCAACCATTGCTCAGACCCAGAAGCAAATGTTGGCTGAGCCTCTTTCCCCAGGTTCCCTCTTTTCTTTGGGACCTTCAGAATCAGAGTTGGGAAGGGACCCACTTATTGAGTACTTGGCATAATGTGCCGAAAGTTTTTCTTTTTCTCCAGTGTTTCATTTAATGTTCGCCTTAGGTGTAAGAATGAGGTGTTATGACCCCATTTTACAAAGGAGGAGATGGAGACAGTAGAGGGGTTGTACAACGGGCCCAGAGTTGAAGAGCTAGTGAGTGTCAGTATGAGATTTGAACACGGGCTTGTGAATTCACTAGACAGGAGAAAGCACACACACACACACACAAAAAAACCATTTGAAGTATAGAATTGGTGCCTCAATTATCTGCCATCTGAGGGCTGATAGTGTAATGTCATGGAAAGAACACTGAACATGTAAAGAAGTGATTAAGGTTGTAGTTTCAGCTGTGACACTTTACTCTGGATGACCTTGGGAAAGTCTTCTGGGCCTCAGTGTGCTCCATAGTATAGCTTTTTAAAAACTTTTATTTTTTATTTTTATTTTCTGTGTGTGCACATGTGGCCCCCCATACTATAGCTTTAAAAAATAGTGATATGGGGTGGGTGAGATGGCTTAGTGGATAAAGGCACTTGCTGCTAAGCCTGATGACCTGATTTTGATCCTGGAACTTACATAGTGGAAGGAGAGAACTGTTTTCTGACCTCCATGTGTGCACATACTACACACACACACACACACATACACACACACACACACGCATGCACACACACACACAAAAATAAATAAATGTGTTCTTGGTATGCAGAAAATTAACTTTCTTGCTTTGAGTGACCTTACCAGACTTCTGTCCCTTTAGAGGTCATGGTTCCCTCCTGTACCCACGTCTCTGGAAAAGTCTTAACTTTTAGCACATTCTTTTTGTCCTAATGACAGGAAAGCAAAGCTGGTTGCCATGACAGATTCTAAGATCCTGGAAATGTCTTCTGCTGGGGCTGTGGTGGAAACACAGGGCAAGGAAGTAGCTGTGGTAGCCAGCTCAGTTGTCTTAGTAGCCAAACCACATGTTTCAGATCCTCCCTCAGCCATTGGCCTCACCACATGGCCCTGAACCACAGGCCTGGAGAGGCAGAGCTTTTCTCAGGCTTGTATTGCCCCCTGCCAGGCAAGCCAAGGTACTGCTAGCAGGATTCTGACTTTTGAGAGACCTCACAGAGGAACTGCTATAAGAAGTTAGGAACGGCAGGATGGATCCAGACACCTGCATGTATATATTGGTGCACAGTCCTACACTGATCCTCCGAGTTCAAGCCATGAGCAGACTTGGTTGTAACTATGCAGAGACATGCTGGGGTAGGTGCAGAGCACAGATTCTCAGCCCTGCCCTACCTCTGTTTGCCCCACCCCCCAGCCTGTGTTTACTCTGAGGCTTGTCAGATCTTTTCTTTTCCTCCCCACAATTCTCAGCAGTGCATGACCCTCGTTGAGCCTATTGCTGTTTTTGACAGCCTTCCACCTTCCCCTGCTCTTCTCCCTTATCTACTGGGATTTCTGAAAGAATGTTTTAAGAGCCCTTTGTGTTATCAGTCCTGGCCTCCAGGATCTCTTCTTAGATTTCCTTGTGGGCGAGAACTAGGATGAGAGGGCTCTTCCTGTCTTGGAAAAAACCCACCAGTTTCCTTGGAGTTCTTTGGTCAGCAGGGCCATCACAGGCGCTAAGGAAATGGAGGAAATGCTGAGGGCAAGATTCCACGGCCAGAGCAGCTCTGCTGAGAGCAGCGGCTTTCCTGTGTCCATGCCAGAGTCCGTGGTTACAGCACTCACCTGGGCAGTGCCTGCACCCGGAAAAAGTAGCTGCTGGGGAGTCCCACAGGTTTGTTACTAGCATGCAGACTCTCCCGTGGCCAGGAGGCCTCTTCTGTGAGTTTAGACATTTCCACAAAGCCTGGCAATAGTACCTAGCACTGTCCCAGGTGCTTCCAGAGTAGAAGAGGAAGGCCACTCCAGCCATTGCCCTCCACGACTTCCACAGGTCAGCACTGTGGCAGTCCAAGGCTCAGCACTCAATTGCTCTGCAAACAGAGTCAATGAGCAGAGGTGGGGCGCTTCTGGGAAACGCTCTGCGGAAGGAGGACTGGACCTTGATGAGTACTTGGGGGGAGAAATGAACTAGGAAAGGTGCTGCTTCTTGCAAGGGCTGGAAGCCCAATCTAGAGTCAGACTAAACTTGGAATCTAGCTCCAGCACTACCACTTTGTTAACTGTGAGATTGTAGGCAAGTCTCCTTTGCTCCCTCCCCTCTCCTCTCCTCCCCTCCTTTCCCCTCCTCCCCTCTCGCCTCCCATCCTCCCCTCCACTTCCTCCCCTGTCCTGTCCTGTGTCCTGTCCCATCCCCTTCTCCTCTTCTTTCCTCTCCTCTCCTCTCCTCTGCTCCCCTGCCCTCCCCTGCCCTCCTCCTTTATTCTCCTTCCCTTCTGTCCCACAGAGTCTCAAGCCCAGGCTGGCCCTGAATTCACAGCCCTGCCTTCACCTCCTGAGTGCTTGGATTACAGACATGCAGTGTGCCTGGCTTGACTGACTTCTTTCTGTTTGTGTGACTGTACACGGAGGAAAGTAGCGCCTTCTTTCAAGTCATTGTGTATTAGACGAGATTTCCCTGTCGGTGGGCTGTAGGATAAGAGGAATGTTTGTGAGAAAGGAAGTAAGAAGTATTGGTGGACATTTCATATCTCCTAGCTGGACTATGATGCTCTGCCCAGGGCCCGGAAAGTTGATGATTCTCCAACTTGCTGCTATTCTTGGGCATGGGGTGGGAGAGTGGAAGACATTAGGGAGGGGCAGGGAATGAGGCTCAAGAAAGCTGTGGCTGACACAGGAAGTCTCCAGGGAGCAGAGGGTTGCCCCAGCTGGATGTTACCTGGAAGAAATGTGCCAGCCACTCTTTCCCTCCCTTGCCATTCCTGAATCACCAGAACTAGGCATGCTTGCCTCCTGCATGTGAGGCAGCATTCGCCCACTACTCTGCTAATCGCATTTCTCTGCCTGTTTCACGTTCCCTGTTCTGTTCTAGAAGCTGAAGCCAAAAAAGCATGTGAATGGCTCCGGGCAACAGGATTCCCTCAGTATGCTCAGCTTTTTGAAGGTAAAGACAATTGTTCTTCCCACCACACTCCAAAACTTACTTTCTCCTGCAGCTTTTCTTCTGAAAAGTGGGTAGAACAGGTCCTCTCTGCAGTCACACAAAAATTACTCTATATCCTGGTCCTGCTCAAATTTGTTCAAGGACTTTACTCCTCACATAACAACTTTGCTACATAGGCATCTCTTTTAGATTGCGCTTGTCAACTTCCACCTCTGCTGCAAGCCGGATTTTAAAGGACCTTGCATTGCCCAGTGTGCTGCTTTGTACTACCCCTGAAGACAATGTCTCCTGGAGTTGTGCATCCTGTGGCCCTATTTGGACCTCAATTTACCCAGAGAGATGGCGTGACCTCAGCTTTCCTTAATTTTTCTTCATTTTTCGGGTTTTTGTTCTTACAGTTCCTCAGACTTGTTTTCTCCTCCCCGTTCATACACAACTGCCGCACCCTGGCTTCACCCCCACCTCACCCGGTTAAGCTCGCCCATGACCTTCATGGCCACTTCCCAGACCTCATCTTACTCCATCTCTCAACAGTGTTCACTGCAGGTAGCCACTCCTTCCTCTGACTTCTGAAACATTCCCACCTACAGCTGCCTGTCTAGCTGCTGCTCTCTATTTACTGACTCAGCTTCCTCTAACTGGCATCTAAATGTTAGAGTGTCCCAGGGCTCAGCCCAGACCCTCTACTTTCCCCACATTTTTTTGCTCTGAGATCCTCATTCAGGTACATCTGTACTGTGACAGCTTCCATACAGGTCTGTCCAGTCCTCATTTCCAAGTTTCGGTTCATCTAATCAGCCACCACCAACTCGGTATCTTTACTCAGGGGTCCAACTGTGATTTACCAGGCCTAAAACCACTCCTAAAGGCTCTGCCATCCACTCAGGTGTTTGAGTTCTATAAATCCAGGAATCATCCTGAATTGCTTTCTTCCCTTGCTCCCATGTCTAAGCCTCCTGCTTCCAGAATGGATCCATTTATTCAAACCCCCACTGCCACATCTGAGATTCACCACCACTATTCACCTCGACTAGTGTGCCAGGCTCCTTCCTGGACCTCTCCAGCACAGCAAGTGGGATCTGACCATACCATTCATGTGCTTTGATAAGTGAGATAAGGGCAAATGCTGGACTCTGGCTGGCCAGTCTGCACAACCTACCTTACATTTGTGACCGCTCTCTTTTGATCTTTACACTCTGGGCTCCTCTCTGCCTCTTGTTCCCACCTAACTTTCTCCTTCAGAGCCCTTAGTATTTACATTTCTTCTGGCCAAAACTGTTTCTCTTTTCTCTGTGTAGCCACCTCCTTCTCAGCCTTCAGGCCTCCTCACAGAAATCACCTCCAAAAGACTTGTTACTGACTACCTCTCCCCAAGTAGCCACACCCTCATCAGCCTCTATTTACCCTGTCACCCTGGCTCAGGTTTTTCATGGCATTTGTGTTATCTGGGTTTTGTGTATTATTTATTGCCTGTTTCCTGTGAGAGCGGAAACTCCCTGAAAGCAGGGACCAATTTTCTTTTATTCACTGTTGCCTACTCAATACCTTGCACAGTGCCTGCCATAAAGTGGCATTGGTATCAGTTGAATGAGTAAATGGGAGTGGTCTTATCTCTCTCCCCTTCTCTCCAGACCTTCCTTTTCCCTCTCCCTTCCCTAAATCCTGGGTAGAAGGCTCCCACTGCTCTGGACAGGCACTGTTCAGCTACTTTCTATCTTTACTCCCTTCCTACTTCTCATCATTCACCCTGGACCAGGGAAGAGCTTCCCTATCTGAGAAGATCAGGATTCAAATGAGTGAGAAGAACCCAGGTTGGTTCTTGGCAACCATTGAGGGTCTCAGGCCTGCTCTCTGGACCTGGACCTATGTCACCTGGTTTTCTAGTTTAGCTTAACCCTCCAAGCCACTCTCTAGCTTTTCCCTCAACTGCCAACCCTGATCTCTCTATGTCCCCTAGGGCTCATCAGCTTTCTGTTGCTGTGACAGAATACCTGAGATAAACAGCTTAAAAGGAAGATTTATTTGGCCTTATGGTTTTCACCCATGATTGTGTGGCCGCATTGCTTTGGGCCTGAAGCTAGGCAGAGCATCATTGTGGAAGCATGGGGGGGGGGGGGGTTCCTCACTTTGTGGTGGGATAAGAAGGTGGCAGAGTGGGGACAGGGGTGAGGTTCTGATGCCAATTCAAGGGCAAACCTCCAGTGGGTCAACCTCCTTCTACTGGGTCTTACCTCCTAAAAGCTCTACCACCTTCCAGCAAGACTAACAACTGGGGACTGAACCTTCAATACATGAGCCTTGGGGAGACACTTAAGATCCAAATCCTACTACCCCTTCTTTACTCCTGGCTTTTTTCCCTTCTACTGTGGCCCTTGCCTTCTTGCTTCCTTTCCTCCTTAACTCTCTCCCACCCTTACCCTGACCACACTTCAAGGGTACTTTGGCCTATTTCTTATCCTCTGCTATATTCTTCTTTGCTTCTCTCCACCACACAGAAGGTGTGTTTCCCCTGGATATTGGCTCTGTGAAGAAGGACCACGATTTTCTGGACGAGGACTCTCTGGGGGCCCTGTGCAGGTAAGAAGGCTGAGAGCCAGGCTTAGGAAACCACATGCCCAGTTTGGGGGCTTCTTTGTGGAAAACACAATGTACCCTGTATTATAGGGGAGCATAGTTTATTAATGAGGCCCAACTTCTCTAGTCATATTCCTCATTCTGGTTTCTGTGTCTGCAGCACCCTCCTCTACCCGCATCACTCTAGCTGAAAAGCTCAGATCTGGTCCTGATTCAAAAAGAATTCTTCAAAGTATGCCTTAGATTCAGTCTTTCTACTTAAGCCAGTTCTGCTGTTTCCTGAGGCTAAAAACAGGATTTCTCCTTGGGTCTATTAAAATAATCTAACTGGCTTTGGCCTCTGTATTCACCCCTCCTTCCCCACAAATACATCATCTCTTCAATCACCAGAATCAACTTTTTAAAGCTCTAAGTGGGTGCTCCTCTGCTTAAAATCTATCATTGCCTATATTTAAGGGTTCAAGGCTTTTTCAGCATGATACCGAGGCCCTTTGCCATCTGTCTTTTGACCTACCATAGCTGTGATCACACCCTCTCCCACTACCGTCATGGCTGACTGTGTCCTTCTTTACCTTGTCACAGGCTCCTGTAGAAGCCTGGGATAGTTGTCCCTGTGTTTTTTAACCCTCAAAATCCCATCTCTGCCTTGCAGGAAGGCTTCTCTGACTGCACCCTGTCTCTTCCTGGAAGTCCCTTATCTCAGCCTCAACGTGTCTGCTGTGCTTTCTGCGTACCCTGTTTTTCAACATGTCCCATTTCTGTAGTGGTTTATTTCTATATGTATAAGCTCCTGGCGACAGAGGACATAATCTTTCTAGCATCATAATCGAGCCATCAGGGACAATGGAGCTTGGGAAAAGCGTTGATGGCTTGACCATGGGGAATGGTAGATGGCATCTTGAAAGTATCTTGGTAGGCCATACCAGGCTTTAGGGGGTTGAGATCCTTGGTGAACACTTACTTTGTGTTGCAGGAGGCTGATGACCTTGAACAATTGTGCTTCGATGAAGCTTGAGGTTCATTTTCAATGCAAGCAGGTGAATCCTGTCAAGGGGTGATGTCTGTGATCTCATGGTACCTGGGGGAAAACCCATGGTATGCACTTGTGAACTAGCTTCCATGTCTCAGGAGTCCAGAGCGTCTAGAACAGTGCTTTATTCCAGTTTGGGGGTGGGAATGTAGAAGTCTGTACTGCAAGCCCTATGAGACCACTGAAGGTTTTTGGTGACTTCACCTACAGGAGAATGTGAGAGCAAGTACCCTGGCTGGTTCCTCACCCTGTCCCCTACTCAAACCACCTCTCCCTTATGTTTTTGCCAATAATTTGACCTAGTGATGGCCTTCTTCAGGGAAGTCCATTTGCCTTCACTGCTTGGTTTGTGATAGCTGAAATTCCATTAAATAGGGGAAGAGACAGAATCATGTGGCAGAAAGATCATGGTCAGCATGATCTTAAAAGTCAGGATCCACATAGCCTCGCTTCCATAAGCTCTTACTCCCTTGGTCCTCAGCCTCATTTTTCCCATCACTACAATTAATTGGGAGGCTGAATTAATAGCTACCAAAGACCTTTCCAACTTTGCCATTCTGGAATTACAAAAGCCATGAGGACTCTTAGTCTGTGCATAGACATAGAAAGCAAACTTCATGACCACATTGTTTCCTGCAGACATGTTTGTTGGTTTCTGCTGGGGCTTTCCCCACCAGAGGCCTGCAGTTGAATATGGTAGCTAAGTTGACAGAGCATTGGCCTGTGAATTGGGAGACCCATGGGACCTGGTCCCATTTCTGCCACTGACTGCTGAGTACCCTCTGGGCAAGCTTCATTCCCTGTCTGGATCTCAGTTCCTCACCTTGCCAAGGAAGAAACAAATTAGAAAATCTAAAATCCCCTCCACCTCTTATATCCTATAATTCTAAGCTAAGACTACAGCCTAGACATTTAGAAGTCTCTGTCACTGACATAAGCATGTCAGTAAATAACCTTAGGGAAATAGCTTCTGGTTTGTGTTATTTTCCCTATCTGTAAAATGGGAGAGTAGATTAATTAGATGACTGTCGCCATATTTCTGGGCTACATCTGGGATTACCGGCTTCCTGCAGCACTCCCAGAGCCAGCTTCCTATTCTTAGGACATGTCCTCCACCAGAAAGCAAGGCTCTTCACCTCAAAATCCCCCAGAATTTGGAGGCAGATTAGAGCATAAGCTGGGACTTGTAGGTTGGGCTTCTGTGACCCCTCTCTATGGCATCTCCCCAGAATGAAGATTCAGAAGAGGAGGAGCAGTGTACCATCAGTAACCACTGGGCCTTCGAGCAGGAAAGCAAGTGTGGGTCTCCTATGAGCTCTTCTGCCTTGCTGGCCCCACCAAGCCCTAGCCGGCTGGGGACCTCAAGCTGTGAAAGTGTCCTGACTGAGCTTAGTGCCACCTCCTTGCCTGCCATCACCGTGAGCCTTGCACCAGAGCCAGCAGACCTGCCCTTGCTAGAGCGTGTCCCCAGCCCAAGTGACCAGCCCTTCCTTAGCCCCACCCAGGGCCAGGAGAGTTCCCAAGAGAAAGTCAAGAAGCACCATTCCCGTAGCTTCCTCAAGCACCTTGAATCTCTGAGGAGAAAGGAAAAGAGTGACAGTCGACAAACAGAGCCTGAGCAAAACCTGGCCACTTCAGAGAAGGCTTCCAAAGCCTCATCTTTCCGCAGTTGCCGTGGCTTCCTCTCAGCTGGATTTTACAGGGCCAAGGGCAGGGCCACCACCTCAGCCAGGGGCAGAGATGGTGAGATTCAGAAGGCCTGGGAGGCTTGGCCTGTAGCCACGTTGCGGCGTCCTCAGCCCGTACACCTACGTGACTGCCTGGTGCATGTGCCTGGGGACCATAAGCCAGGCACATTTCCTCGCTCTCTGTCCATTGAAAGCCTATGTCCAGAGGAGGGACATCACCTGGCAGATTGGCAGCCAGGTAGGTGCTGGGGCTATGAAGGGCGCCGGGGTTCCTGTGGCTCCACAGGTAGCCATGCCAGCATTTATGACAACTTGCCAGAGCTGTACCCAGCTGAGCCTGTACAGGCCGAGATTGAGGCTGAAGATGAGGATGACAGTGGTGGCAGCTATGCACACCTAGATGATATTCTGCAGCATGTGTGGGGGCTGCAGCAACGGGTAGAGCTCTGGTCTCAGACCATGTACCCAGACCTGGGGCCAGGAGATAAGGAAGAAGAGGAGGAAGAGGAGGAAGAAGAGGAGGCTCCTTCATCAGTGGAAATAGCCACAGCTGAGGTGGAAGGCCAGGCTGAAGATCTAGCCCAGGCAGAGGCTCTGGTTCACAGAGAGTCCCCTACTCAGACCCAGGCCGAAGTCCCACCCGTAGTCCTAGCTCAGGCTCCAGCTGAGGCCAAAGGTTTGGCGCATGCCGAGGCTGAGGCTCTGGCCCAGGTCCAGGACAATGAGCAAGAGGCAAACTCGGCTGGGGAACCCACCTCTGCCTCCAGTCTGTCTGTGGAAGAAGGACATTCAGTCTCTGACACGGTGGCTTCCTCCAGTGGACTTGACAGTAGTGGCAACTCCATGAATGAGGCTGAAGCTGCAAGCTCTTTAGCAGGACTCCAGGCATCAGTGCCCCGTGAACGGCGTGATTCAGGTGTTGGGGCCTCACTTACCAGACCTTGCAGGTAGGAGTTTGGTCTAGGGAAGGGGTGAGGTCGCTGCTCAGTCTATCTCCGCTTTCCCCCCCCTGATTTCCTAGTCATAAGTCCCAGGGGAAGGTTCTTGGGATGTGGGAACTCATTTCCAGACATCCAGTCCCGAGAGGTATAAAGACATCAAGACTCTAGAGTTTAGAAAGTTAGGTACAGGATGCGGCCCTGGTGGTGTTGAGGAAACAGTGGCTTCTCTGGCCTTGTTTTCCTCATCACGGCAGCAAGGGTGTTAGATATGGCCTCTGCTCCTCAGCCTTGCCATCCAGGACTTCTTGCCACATTGGTCTTGGAATGGACAAAGGGCTGGCCCTGCTTTTTGGCACTAAATGGGTCTCAGTTTAGTGCCCACCCTCCATGAGAGCTTCTTGGCCTCTGAGTAACCGAAGAGTTAAAACTAAGCTTTTTCCATCCTGAGGCCTCGTAGTAGCTTTCAAAGTGTTTCCACCTCCCTGTATTTTCTTTCTTTGGAGAGACAAAAGAGACCAAAAGGACATAACCTTTTCTAAGGTTTAGAAAACCTGTATCTCTGGTCCTCCTCTTTGCCCCTCTCACCTCCGCTAGGAAGCTCCGTTGGCACAGTTTCCAGAACTCCCACCGACCCAGCCTCAACTCAGAGTCGCTGGAGATCAACCGGCAGTTTGCAGGCCAAATCAACTTGCTTCACAAGGGCTCACTGCTTCGGCTCACCAGCTTCATGGAGAAGTACACTGTACCACACAAACAAGGCTGGGTATGGTGAGTGTCCCCAGAGCCATGCAGGACAGGAGCTGTGGACTTCTTTAGGTTTGGGATCCCAGCAGCACAGCCCAGAGGTGGGATAGGCAGGCTGATCCCACTGGCCAGTGGAGTAGTGCTATGCCAGGAAGTTAGAGAGGCCATGTGAGGATGGATATGGTCTGGGGAACCTCAGATCCTCCAGCTGTCCCTTCTTCATACTGGCCTCCGTACTGCCATCAGCTTGACTGTCCTGAAGTGCACTTTGGGTGTCATATTTCGAGTAAATAAACAGCATGCTTGCTTCCCATTGTCCAGATTCCTTTCCATCATGATCCTTTAGTGCTCTGGACCCGCCCCATCCTTCTTGCTCCTTAGTGACATCTGAAGTCTGAGACGAGTTGCCCTTCCCTCCCTGCCTTTTCATCTTTGTTCATGCCATTCTCTTGGCCTGGAATGCCTTTGTGGCATTTCTCCTCGGGGACAACACCTTCTTGTCCCCTAGGAGCCTGTTGAGTTACCACCTCTTCTCTCTGGCCCTCTCTGCCCTGCTAGATACACTTCCCCCTGCTCATGGCTCTTCCCCTAAGTTTATGGCCTACTACTGACCACATGAATGGTCACTGAGGGCCCCCTTTGTCCCCATGACTTCCACAGGCTGAGGCCAAATTAGGTGCTCACTGAGCATTGACTGGGGACATGGTATGTGCCCGCATCACTTCTAGCCCCCTGAGACTACAGAGAGCCTCCAAATTGGGTTCACTCTTCCTGATTGCTTGTCAACCCCTAAATAGGTCAGTGCCCAAGTTCATGAAAAGGAACAAGACCCCAGATTACCGGGGACAACATGTATTTGGAGTGCCACCCTTCATCCACGTGCAGCGCACAGGCCAGCCTCTGCCCCAGAGCATTCAGCAAGCTATGCGCTACCTGAGGAGCCAGTGCCTAGATCAGGTGAGCCCTCCCCAGGGAGCCTGCAGAGAGGAGGTGCAGGGAGGTAGAAGGCCCAAGACTGACTGCTCTGGCCTTCATCTTGGGTTGGGCTGCTCACCACAGACATTTCCGCTCCTTGTTCCCTTTCCTTCCTTAAGCCTAGAGACCTCTTCCCACCTCTGGGGCAGCTTCTTTCTGTCCCAGACTCTGTAGTCTCCTGGTCTCAGAACCTATCTTAGCCCAAGGCCATCTTTACCACCTCCTCTCCTTGACAGCCATCTTTGTCTTTGGCTCCAGGATATAAACAGTTTTCTCTTTGGCCTTGCCTAACCCAGCAGGAAGCCTGCTAGGCTTCCCAGTCTCCAAGGTGGCCTATGCTCCTGACACTCTGGTCCTGGGCTATCCTCACTCTCTTCTTGCCCTGCATGTCATCCTTTTCCTTCCCCTCAATGGGCTAGGTGGGCATCTTCCGCAAGTCTGGGGTCAAGTCCAGGATCCAGAGCCTGCGCCAAATGAATGAGACCTCCCCTGACAATGTCTGCTATGAGGGCCAGTCAGCCTATGATGTTGCTGACCTACTGAAGCAGTACTTCCGGGACCTGCCTGAACCCATCTTCACCAGCAAGCTTACCACCACTTTCCTGCAAATCTATCAGCGTAAGTTACCTGCACCTCTCCCTATGAACCTGCCCCACATTTTAGCTTGCTTGATCCTGAGGGCTTGTGGGGGGATAAATCTGGTGGCTGGTTCCATGAGCTCATGGACCATTTACTCTCTGGACTTGAAAAGGCTCTTGGAGAGGGGCCACATTTTACTACTCCCTAAAACCCATTATATGCTAGGGTAGACTGAGGTCCTGAGGAAAGGGACTTTCCAAAGGCTGTACCACATAATTCATTTTGTACCCTTTGTATGTTCAGAATGTTGCATTATCAGAAACCCTCAAAAAATTAAAATAACCAAAAAATTTAAAATAAAATAAAATAATAAAAATTTGGAAAAAAAAGAAAAAAGAGCAGCGCTAGACCTAACCCCAGAGACTTCCCACAGCTCACCTGGCTCTTCCCTCTGAAGACTTCCCTCTGCATTCTGGGTGGCAGGAAGCTTGCTGTTGGTGCCTCCTGAGAAGTAAGGGAGGTCCCTCTGCGCTTCCTTTCCTGCAGTCCTCCCAAAGGAGCAGTGGTTGGCGGCAGCACAAGCTGCTACCTTGCTGCTCCCTGATGAAAACCGAGAAGTGCTACAGACCCTGCTCTACTTCCTAAGCGACATTGCCTCTGCTGAGGAAAACCAGATGACAGCTGGCAACCTGGCAGTGTGCCTGGCACCCTCCATCTTCCACCTCAACATCTCCAAAAAGGACAGCCCCTCACCCAGGTGAACCCAGTAGTGCATGTCAGGGCCAGTCCAGGGGAGTTTGACCTCACAGAACTTTTGGCCTTTGGGAGCTGCCACTGCTGTTTCCAATCTCACCCCCAACAGCTCAGCCTTGGCCACTGCGGAGCATGCCCTTTCTAAAAGACAGCAGATGGTTTTATGGTCAGGACTAGCAAGCTGACTTTCCGGGAGCTAGGAAGCACCTGTCAGCCATCTTGTCTTGTGCCCTGGTGCCATCTTGTCCTCTCACCATCTCCCCCCAGGATCAAGAACAAACGTAGCCTGGTTGGCCGGCCAGGCCCTAGGGACCTGAGTGAGAACATGGCTGCCACCCAAGGCCTATCACACATGATCAGTGACTGCAAGAAACTTTTTCAGGTGAGTCAGATCAAGCCATGGTATCCAGTTATCAGAACTATCAGGCCTGACTTTGAATCCTAAGTCAGGGAAGGATCCCAGATTGCTACTCCTTAAGCTGCAATTTGGGCCTTTCTCTTTCAGTATCTTGTCAACCTCACTGCAGTGCAAGAGCCATGTCTTTCCATAAACACTTAACACTGACACCTGGGGGTCCCCTTCTCCCCACAACCCCTACTCAGTGTGTGTGCCCTCCCAGGTGCCCCAGGACATGGTGGTGCAACTGTGTGGCTCGTACAGTGCAGCTGAACTCAGCCCTCCTGGCCCAGCTCTGACTGAGTTGCGGCAGGCACAGGCTGCTGGGGTGAGTCTGAGCCTCTACATGGAGGAGAGTATACAAGAGCTGCTTCGGGATGCTGCAGAACGCTTCAAAGGCTGGACCAGTGTGCCTGGGCCCCAGCATACAGAACTGGCTTGCAGGAAGGTAAGCTCCAGACTCTTCATCTTGCTCTGGGCTGGGAGAAGGCACTGGGCCAGCCCCATAGAGCTATTCTTCCAGCCTCACTTGGTCTGGGCCTGGGCCTAGGCCTGATACTTAGAGAATGCCAGCCATCTGGACAAGTGTCTAAAGGAGTCAGGCACCAGATGAGACCAGAGCATCTTTCCTGGGCCACCTTCCCGAGTTATCTTCCACAGCTCCACTTCAGACCCATTGCCACTGTGACGGCTCCAATGCCTAGGTCTCGTTGGACCCTGAACAGGCAGAGCTCCTTCAAATTCCCCTATGTGCCTCTGTTTATGCTGTTCTGCTGCCTGAAGTCTGTCCCCAAGTAAGACCTCTCCCTAGCCAACTTTAGCTCATACATCATAGTCCCTCTTTCATTCACTGCCTTCTCTCAGGGCCTGGGCTGGAGGTACCTCCTATCAGTGCCCCTATGTCATCAGCTTTATTGTTTCTGAGATGTCAATCCTGAGTGGAACTGTGAGCTAGACGTTTCCCATGTATAAAATGGTCATGACTAAATTTTCCCTATGGGACCAAGGTAGGGACTGGCACAAAGCCTGGCACATGCAAAAAGGCTTCAGCAGTGGCCACCTTTGCTCTGGTGCACGTTGCCTTCCTGCGCTTTGCAAGTCCATTAAGAACAATCACCCCTTCTCTTCCCATGACCAGAGGTTCTATATGCTGTGCCCACATCATTGCATCATGCTCCAGGGCAGGCTGAGGAATGGGCATGTAGGAAGGACAGGGAGGACAGGGATACATGCCAGTGTGCCTAAGTACGGTTCCAGTCAGCAGAGGAGACCTGCCACCTTCCCTTATCAGCAACTACAGGGAGAGAATCCCACACTCTACAGTCTGACTTGAGCTGGTGTGAATTGGGAGTGCTCTCCTCTTGATAGTATTCCCATCCCCACCCCCGTGGCTTACAGGCACCAGATGGACACCCTCTGCGGATGTGGAAGGCATCCACAGAGGTGGCAGCCCCTCCAGCTGTGGTGCTGCATCGTGTCTTAAGGGAGCGGGTCCTATGGGATGAGGACCTGCTGCGGGCCCAAGTGCTGGAAGCCCTGATGCCAGGAGTGGAGCTGTACCACTATGTCACTGACAGCATGGCACCCCATCCTTGCCGGGACTTCGTGGTGCTCAGGTGAGGTGCTCCTGCTGCCAACCTGCCCTGCCTCAGGGACCAGAAGAGATGGGGCCGGAGCCAGCAGCAGGAATCTGAACATGGGTTCTTCTCCTCCATGCTCCAGGATGTGGCGCTCAGACCTGCCTCGTGGGGGATGCCTGCTTGTCTCCCAGTCCCTGGATCCTGAGCAACTGGTGCCTGAATCTGGAGTGCGGGCCCTCATGCTCACTTCCCAGTACCTAATGGAGCCCTGCGGCTTGGGCCGCTCTCGTCTCACTCATATCTGCCGTGCTGACCTTAGGTACCAGACCTGGAATGCCTACCTCACCCCCTTGGCCTTGAGCCCCTCCCCTGCCTCCACCCCATGCTAGTGATCTCCAGTGTGGGAGAAAGTTCCTTTCATCCTTGCCCCTGCTGAAGGCCCCAGTGGAAACCCCATTGCTCACGTTTGGCTTCTTTTGTCTCCTCAGGGGCCGCTCTCCTGACTGGTACAACAAAGTCTTTGGGCACTTATGTGCCATGGAAGTGGCAAAGATCCGGGACTCTTTCCCCACACTGCAGGCAACTGGCCCTGAGACAAAGCTGTGAGCCTCACAAAGCCATTCCCCAGGCCCCTGCCATCAAGGGAGCGAATGGGAATAAGAACAGAGAGGCCCCCAGGGGCAGAGCCAGGCCCAGGTGGCCTGTCCTCTTACATCCTAATACCACTCTGCATATACATGGGAGAAGAGGGTGTAGGTGTCCCGTCTCCATCCTCCTTCATTCCCCACACTGCATTCTACTCTCCCAAGAGAAGAGAATCTTGTTAGTGGTAGGAAGACAGCTGCTCCCCTCCCCCTGACCAAGAAGCCCCTACTCCATCTGGAGCTTCATCAGCTACCTACCCACAGGGGGGTAGAAGGAAATGGAGAGCATGGTATAGTCCCTCTCTGTCACACCAAGAGGCTAGACCATTTTGTTTGGTCTAGAGTTCTTTTGAAGTTGGATAGGAGATTCTGGTCCTGTCTTTGGGGCCAGCATTGGTCCTGAACTGACTTTTCCAGATAGAGATCTGGAGTAGTGGATGGAGCATAGCGCATGGCAGCACCAGCCACCAAAAGCTGTTTTATCCACATAAATACGATGCTGACTTTTATGAAGCAGATTGAGAGTGGCCTGATGGGCTGTTAGTGACAGGACGAATTGGGATAGCTTGGGACATGAGGTTAGAGAAGCTTCTTTTCTCAAGTCTCAAGAGACCAATGAACCATCCTCCCCTGCCTTGGACCCAGACTTTATCTGCGGCTGTTTGGGGTCGTGGGAAGCCTATGGCCCCTCATGACCATATTTACAGGCAAATGAGCCCCTCCCACCACACTGAAGGCAGTTCCCCTGAGACAAAGCTGTGAGCCTCACCCTGGCAGAGGCCTCCAGGGGCAGAGCCAGGCCCAGGTGGTTCAGCTGCCTATCCTCTGGTATCCTAATCTGCTCTGCATATACATGGGAGGAGAAGAGGGTGTAGGTACCCCACCTCCACCCACCTTTATCCCCCACCCTGCATTCTGCACACAGGTCAAGCCAAAGCACATAGCGGCAGCGAGTTGTATAGCTGTATCTTTGCGCCTTTTGTTCATGATGTGGCCCATGAGAAAAGTCCCTTTGGAGGCAGATACCATAGACAAGGCAGAGTGAAGGGCTTACCTTAACCATCTGGGCCTTGATCCCAGCCTGATAGATCCTATCCAGTGGCTATCTTTTCAGATGGAAATCCAGCAGACATTCAGAGGCCAACTGGTGTTTTCTTTGTCTTTGTACTGAGTAAACTGTACTGGGGTGGGTTGTAGCTACCATTGCAATGTTAAGCCTGTTTTCTCTGTACCTATAAATACTGTACAGTCAGAATATATATGCACATATGTATATATACATATGTATATACCTATATATACACACGCATAGCTGCATGTGCACGCAACTAGCCCCTCCTGAAGGTATAATCTCTGGATGGAAGCAGGGTCTGTAAGGCCTGGGGCAGGGTACTCCTGATGAGACAGGAGAGGTGAAGGACAGGCCTCAGCAGGTCCCTCTGCAGAACAATAAAGCATGACTGGAGATGCACACTGATTCTGTGGCTTTTTTTTTTTTGCTCAATCAATGGGCTTGGACCTGGGGACCACGGTTACAACTCAAACGCACAGGTCACAGGTAGGGAGCATTCACCTTGCCCTCCCCTGAGTCCCAGCTTACTAGTGTTGGAATTTAGGGTGACACCATAGAAGGGGTTTAATTCTTGTCTTGGTAAGGTGACTGGTATGGGAGCAGGAAGAATTTGGAGAAGCCAAAACTTGGGCAGAATCTGCAAATTCCATCCCATGATGAGCCCAGGGGCCTGGATTGAGGCAGCAGACTGCAGGGTGACCTCAGGGGGGATGGGGGGCTTGTACCACATGCAGGACACCCTAAAAAGAGGTCCGGGTGTTTGAGACAGCAAGGCCTGGGGGTTGAAACTAGACTATCTTGACATCCCTCAAAGAAGGACCTTTTGTTTGCCGTGTTGCTGTGGTTATAAAACTTCTAAATTCCAAGGCACAGATAAAAAGAAAGTTAACACAACTTAGCAGATTTCCGAGCAATGTATGTAGTCCTTTAGGCAACCATCACAGAGTGTGCTAATGCAAACCAAGAGGGCTCTGACATCACTAGGGGACAGAATATAATGGAATAACCTACTCTGTATGCAGCCGGTACGTGACATACATGCCTGATACATGGCACACTGCTATGAAAGCATTGTAATCCCATCAGCATCTGCATTCCTCTGGGATCATCATTAGCCTAGGCATGAAAGTCACAGGGTCTATCTGAGCCCAGGCATCTTCAGGGCTCCAAAAGTATCTATGAGTCATACTTTGTCACAAACCCGGCTCAGTGACTGTTCAAGTGAGACTACTCTGGCATGGAGCACCAACTCCAGCCAAAGTAGAATGGGGGACCTGTGACATTCCACTCATCTATCACTTACCTCCATTGCCTTCCAGCCTTCAGTTGTTTGCATGTCTTGCCTTTCCATGGGTGCTAAAGTGGACCTTGGAAAAGAGCCGGGTGGACAGAGAACCTATCAGACTCTGGGTCTTTGGGTAACTGAAAAGGGACACACCAGGGTGGCTTTGGATTGGGAAGGGGCAAAATAAAGACAGAGTGTGCCGCTCTAGCACATGGTTGTAGACAGCAGTATAATTCTCAGGGGTTCACCACCCTACTCTGGGGGGGGCAACTAATGGCCCAGAGAACAGGGGTCAACATGAGCTGTCAATGGGTTAATGAGACAGATAAAGAGGAGGATGAGGCAGGCTCCTGGAAGGGCCAAACAATCCTCCACCATCCTAGCTGTGGCCTCTGATGCCCTGGACCAGATGCCAGGGTTCAGCAAGCCCCAGGCAGGTCCCTTCACACCAGGAGAGGATGGGGTGATGAGGAAGGCCTGAGAGCTCTGGCTCCAGTTCAGCATCTCCACTCCCTCCCTGCAGCCTGAGGGCGTCATCTCAGGTAGTCATGAAGCTAGTGACCCAGCTAGTTGCTATGCAGCTGGTTAACCAGGCAACCTCGGTACCCACTACCCACCTGTGTGCTCAGAACTCCTTCCAGTGGTTCTCACAAGTCCTAAGCATCAGCACATCCTTAGTGCTTGTGGCCTCATACAGCGCTCACCCTGAGAATAGCATTTCTAACAAGTTCTCAGCTGAGGCCCAGGCTGCTGGTTCTTACATTACCGTTCTGTATCCTCCCATCCGTGACTCCAGGAGGTTAATGGCAATGATACTTGAATTGCCATTCAGATGAATCCAAAGCAGGGGGCTGAATTCCCTCTCAGGCCCTTGTACAGTCCCTACAGACCAGAGTACAAAAGCATTATCCTTCCTAGCCTTGAGCCTTACTTATCTAAGTCTCTGAGCCTCAGGTCTCCCTCATCTTCAGAGGGAGTGATCCTCACATACAGAGTTTGCAAGTACTCAACTGCTCGCTGAACACTCATCAGTGTTCTGTCACCTGGTGCCGATTTGCCCTGCAGCTACTACCACACATCTTCCTTTGTTACACAGCTCCTGTTGTGAACTGAACTGAGGAGGGAAGGACTTTAGGAGAGGAGGAGGAGGAAGGAATGCCTGTTCCAGGCGCCCTCCTGTCAGCCCAAGCTGTATTACTCCTTCAACCCTCCTTCCAAGATCTTCCCTGAGGGCCACGTTTCACTCTACTAATGCCATGTATTCCCTTGCAAGAAAACTACACGATTCTCAAACTAAAATTTCTATAGGACTCGGGCAGGCAACACGGGACAGCACAGCATGCTGGGACATGACCCAGCTGGTGGAGACTGCATGTCCCCTGAAGAGGAGACAGGAGCTATGTCCTTAACATCCATCAGGCCCAGGTGGGAACATGGCTCAGGGGTAACATAGCCAAAGCTTTGCTTTCATCCAAGGAATCTAGAAATCCAGGTATTTACATGATATTTACTCATTTCTGAACGGCCCAATAAAATTTAAGTTAAGCCAAACACCCAAGTGTGCAGACACAGAGGGCAAACCACAGGTTCAAGAAGTGGGAGGCGCTGTTTGGGCTTGCAGCTCCCTCAGTGCTAGAAGCAGATAAGTAGCTATTAGGACTAAGCAAGCTTGTGAGACCTGGGCTGATGGGTGGAGAGGAAGCTGCAGCATGGGGCCAGCCAGGCCTTGGTAGAGTCCACCAGAGGGCGGTGGTACTCCATGTGGGAATGTGGGCCACAGGAGCCAGGGAACTGGTGCAAAGAAGCCCACCCACTGCTGCTCCTTCCCTGCTTCTGGGGGTTCCCTGGTGCCCACCCCTTTCCCTTCCCAGTGAGTGATATCGACCTTGTGCCCCTACTGTCCCAGCCCTCCTAAGCCTCTCGAAATAGGGGGTCCTTTTTCATGGGGGCCAGTAATTATCCAACAAATGTTTACTGTGCCAGCCCCTGGTGTAAGGACCAGACTTAAACCAGGGGCTGAAATGGGTAAGAATCTTACCCTTGGACTGGGGAGATGGCTCAGCGGTTAAGAGCACTGGCTACTTTTGCAGAGGACCTGGATTCGTTTCCCAGCATCCACATGGCAGCTAACAACCATATGATACTCCAGTACCAGGGGATCCAATCCCCTCTTCTGGCCTCCGTGGGCATTGCATCCTCAGATGCACTCACATACGTGCAGGCAAAATTCTCATACACATAAAATAAATTAATGAAAAACATCTTTTAAAGAATCTACCCTCATTGAGCAAGCATTCTAGGCAGAGGAACAAATACAGTCAGTGTGTTTTAAAGTGCAAGTGTTTTGGCAATCATTAAAGCAGGAAAGGAGCAGGCAGCAGTGGCTGTGATTTCCTTCCACCAACTCATCCATCCACCCTTTCATCCACACACACACCCATTCACCTCCTCATCTACCCATCCATCCATCTATCCAATCACCCATCAATTCATCCATCCATCTACTATCCATCCAATCACACATGCATCAGCCTACCAATCTGTCTATGCATCCTTCTACCCACTAATCCATCCACCAACCCATTCATTCACCTGCCCATCCATCAACCCACAAACCTACTACACAGGCAAGGCTCTTCCTTCTTTTGTTTGTGTGTGTGTGTGTGTGTGTGTGTGTGTGTGTGTATATCCGTCTCCAGCCTCTGTTCTCAGTGTCGGCTCCCAGGCTTCTGTGCCTTCCCTTCTACCTCCATTTCAGAGATTCCCTCATCCTTCTTCTCTTCTGCCCATTTCCACTGACACTGGTTCCACTTGAGCTGTCTAACGTTAAGGGTTGCTGTAAGTCTCTCTGGCTCAAAACCCATCATTTCCCCTACTTCCTGCCCACTCACTGCCAGGTGGGCACGCGGGGCCTCCACAATGTGGCCTTCCCTGCCCACCACATCCCTCCTTTCCATTCTCATCCTTTCTCCTGCCATGTGTCAGGCGGAATCTGCCAGAGATGGAGGCAAGACTGTCGTTGAACTCGGAAGGTCTGGACTCAAAGTCTCAGGTTGGTCAATTTTTAGCTATGTGTCTCTGGGCGAGTCATTTAACCTTTCAAGGATTCCGTTTCGTTGAACTCGGAAGGTCTGGACTCAAAGTCTCAGGTTGGTCAATTTTTAGCTATGTGTCTCTGGGCGAGTCATTTAACCTTTCAAGGATTCCGTTTCGTTGAACTCGGAAGGTCTGGACTCAAAGTCTCAGGTTGGTCAATTTTTAGCTATGTGTCTCTGGGCGAGTCATTTAACCTTTCAAGGATTCCGTTTCGTTGAACTCGGAAGGTCTGGACTCAAAGTCTCAGGTTGGTCAATTTTTAGCTATGTGTCTCTGGGCGGGTCATTTAACCTTTCAAGGATTCCGTTTCCCCAGGCATAAAGGAAGGTTCACAAGCAGGCATGTGTTACTTAGCTCTGTGTCCTGTTGACTGCATATTTTTTTTCAGTCTGTCCAGAGATTACTAGATTTTTTAAGATATAATTTCTGACATATTGTATTTTCTGAGACAGGGTGTCATATATCTCGGGCTTGCCTGGAACTTTCTTTCAAGGATGACCTTGAGCTTTTGATTTTTCTGCCTCCACCATGCTTGTGCTGGGATTACAAGTAGGCAACACCACACCGAGTTTTATTCAGTACTTGAGATCAAACTCAGGCCCTTATGCATGCATCCTTTACCAACTGAGCCACATCTCAATAATAAAGGTTACTAAATTGTAAGACCTCCTGAAACCTCACCAGCTGATGACACTCAGCTCAAATGTGTCTTCACCTTGAAGTCATCCTTGAAGGTTTAGAAAAATCTGATCCTTCCTTTCCGTGAGTGGCCATAGTTTTTTCCACCTTTCTGCAGGCTGCCATCTTGCTGACGTCCTTGCCCTATATTAATGTTCTTTAGGTACTAGTTATTTGATCACACACGGAATCTTTTGTAATTACAACATTCATTGGAATTCAATGCATTCACAGTGTCTGGTAACTACTACATTTTTTTTTCAAAACTTTTTCTTTCCTTTTTATGTCAAAAGATTTTCAATATCAAAACAAAAACAAAAACATCAATATCCATTAAGTG